TTATATATTACTTGAAACCATAAGGAGAGTATTTGATTATTAAAAAAATTAAAAATAGATAAAATTTGCACTTTATGGAGGATACAATTTTTTTGGGATTTCAAAAATAAATCTACTAAAACATATAAAGTAATAAGTTTAAGTCTGTAACAAATATAAATATTGTAATCATTTCTTATAAATACCATTTCCTAACGTAATTTTCCAAGATATTAAAGATCAAAATGCAAGAAAACTAAATTTATCAAAAGTAATAGGCTTTGTGTTTCTTAAACTACATACATTTATCAAAGTTCTTATGAAGTTTCGAACATATTCATCCACTAGTTTTATTGTTGGAATGAAATATAGCAAGACTTGCATTGCCAACTAAGAAAGTTAGTAGCTGGTAATCATCGGGTTAAAATAGATTTAAACGTGACATCTGCTCAATACAGTGATTAAAATTGATTTAAACATAACATCTGTTCAATACAGTGTGACTAAAATTGATTTAAACATGACATCTGCTCAATACAGTGTGATTAAAATTGATTTAAACATGACATCTGTTCAATACAGTGTGATTAAAATTGATTTAAACATGACATCTGTTCAATACAGTGTGATTAAAATTGATTTAAACATGACATCTGTTCAATACAGTGTGATTAAAATTGATTTAAACATGACATCTGCTCAATACATTGTGATTAAAATTGATTTAAATATGACATCTGCTCAATACAGTGTGATTAAAATAAATTTTAATAACATGACATCTGTTTAATACGGTGTGATTAAAATAGATTTTAATATGATGACATCTGTTTAATACGGTGTGATTAAAATAGATTTTAATATGATGACATCTGTTTAATACGGTGTGATTAAAATAGATTTTAATATGATGACATCTGTTCAAGACAGTGGTTAAGATGGGAAACATCTGAATAATACATCTGCCCATGATAGTTTCATTTAATGGATTGTTAATGATCCTTTTGAAAAGATGACGAGATTCATAATTTTTATGAGATTTGATACAGTAAAGCTAATGGAGATTAAACTTAGAATTTTCATTTTTTACCTCAACATTTTCACTATTTCCCTTTAATATGTACAGTATCTTAATACTTGTAATAAAGTAACACTAACTTTGTTTTTTTTTTCTTTAACTAAACACCAACCCTTTTTCCTGTGAAAGTCTGTCATGGCGTATGGATGCAAATTTAGAACTGTTGCTAAGTTACATTTTTCCACTCTCTGATAAAAAATACACAAGACGTTGTTTTGATTCGAGAAGGAATTTCGGTGATGAATACAGTAATACTCTTTGTTAGATGCTTTAGCTATCTACCAAGCTATGATGGCATCAGTACAGTGTGTGAATCCATATCAATATGCACTGATGGACAGTGGACACAATGGATAATTGAATAGCTGTTCTTTTTATACATGTTTTTAAAACAAGGGCACTTGACAAGTGGTGTTATGGTACCAACACCAGCCCTGATCTCTGACTTGGATACATTGATGACATGTTTGGACTGTGGAACCATGGTTTTGATTACTTAGTCAAATTTCAAGACTTTTTTGAATTCCAATTCACATTGAACCAATTGAATGATGAGGAGTACAGATTTTCTTGATAATACATACCTTAATCATCGATATTAACAGTCTGCCTACCTAGTTGTATAAACTGATTAAAAATAAGTTTTTTCTTCACATCAACTCCAAAAGCTTCCAAGAAAAGTGCAGTCTGACAACTACATCTTGACAATAGAGCTGGATGATTTATTGGCTGGCAGCACCTGCTGTTAGTTTTTTTTTTAGTATTTACTTCTTGAAGTTCTAACTAGTGGGAAGACAGCAGCTGCCATAAATATTTATTTTTGTTATATTTTTATATTTATTTATTAAACTGCCACCCAGATGGAAGGCACCTGGTTTGCAGTACTTGCTGTCATCTTTTCTGTTTTGCTCACTTGGTTTGAGGAACACTGGAGAATAGAATGTAATTGATTAACCCTAGTGCCATGGATATCCTTTAGTGCTTACATTGAAAATTTTATTAAATACTTTTTGTTTATGTCATGCCAAACAGTATAGCATAAAATCTTAGCTAATAATCTATATTTTAATAGTATACAAGTTTTAAGTTCTTAATTCTATGAGCCTATGAGGCAATATTAAAAGAATCCTGAATTTCCCCTAGTGTGACACACGTGACATATTTTCTCTAAGTATATTCTCTTCTCTATTTTATCCACCACCCCTTCAAAAGAAATTAAACATAAATTACTCCCTATAAAATCATCATTGCCCAAACAAACCATAATTTTTATGGCCTTCAATTTTGTTTGGTTACAGAGCCATCAATAGAAAATCAGACCCACCTGTCACATCCCCTCTCTTTCAGGATTTGTTGATAGTTTTTTTGTTATGTTTAATTATATATTACCTATAACCAATAGAAAGTTGAGGTTTTCATCTATAAAGTGACGTATCTTATATCATTGTGTTCTGAACAGAATATTGTACATTTCCTTAGAGTACAAGATTTGTACCCGTGGGAAGGTTAACGACTAGCTTGGTTGAATTTGTAATGGCTCTTGTTGCATAGTTAGATAGCCAGAAAAATGTTGAGAGGTAAGGGAATTTGTTTACTTTTTGCATGTTATTAGTCTATGTTCTTTGGTGCGTTATTTAATTAAATAAAAATTATTTAGTGCATTACTATCATTAGTATAAAGAAAAAAAAAGTAGGGTTAACTGTCATCAACATTCAAGAGCAAGAAAAAAGATTTGGTCAGTACTTTATTTCTTGTTTTTCATGTTTATTCTTTATTTATCATTATAAAATTAATTAAAATGTAAAAATAGGGATCTTACTGTACTTTATTTCTTGTTTTTCATGTTTATTCTTTATTTATCATTATAAAATTAATTAAAATGTAAAAATAGGGATCTTTTTAAGTTAATTAGGATTAATTTTGGTAAAATAAACAATAATAATAATATAATAACAATGTTTCACAAGGCATGCATGCGAGCAGCTCATGGGTAATTTAATTAGATAGCATAACATGAGCATAACTTAGGATAAACAAATGTAGTTTCATGTTACAATTTGAAGTTATTCCCAAAAAAGAAAAAAGGGTAATCTATGTTCGTTTAGATTTTTTTTTGGTGATTATGAGGTCGTTGAAATTGACCAATCCCATATAGAGATAGGGTAGAGAAAATAACAGATAAAATATAAAGTTTTCCCGAAAACAAACATTTGAAATGTATTTAGGAGGTTTTAGAGATTACACAAATCAAATCTGAGGTTTTTGTGTCTTTTGAAAGGTAATTATATATATAATTAATATTAACTTCTGATCTGAGCAAGCTGTATACTTAGAGTGAAACTAAAATCAACTTGATAATCAGTATAGTTAAATAATTATACGTATGTTCTTATTTACAGAAATTCTGATGAATCCATCAATTAAATACCCTCACTGTTAATTATAATTTTAACTGTTATTGCAGGCAGATGTATAAAAGAAATGTGGTCTCCAAAATCAAAACTTGCATAAGTATGGTCACTAAAAAATAACATTAAGATATGTGTATAACTGAAGAAACTTTCAATAACTAGCAGACTTGTAAACAACTTATAAGGTTTGTTCACAGCCCATGCTTTACAAGTTGTAGGCTGCTGATCCAAATTGGTGCATTGAGAGCATAAGGTAATAGGTATGAACTTGGTTGATGGAGTCCTGCTTTACAAGTTGTAGGCTGCTGATCCAAATTGGTGCATTGAGAGCATAAGGTAATAGGTATGAACTTGGTTGATGGAGTCCTGCTTTACAAGTTGTAGGCTGCTGATCCAAATTGGTGCATTGAGAGCATAAGGTAATAGGTATGAACTTGGTTGATGGAGTCCTGCTTTACAAGTTCTAGGCTGCTGATCCAAATTGGTGCATTGAGAGCATAAGGTAATAGGTATGAACTTGGTTGATGGAGTCCTGCTTTACAAGTTGTAGGCTGCTGATCCAAATTGGTGCATTGAGAGCATAAGGACAAACATGATTTTGTAAAGCTGGGGGAAAGTATCTTATCTTGTACTTTGTAGGAAGAACAAAAAATAAAACTTTAAATAGGTAACAAGTGAATAAAGAAACACAGAATGTCACAGCTCTTAATTATTTCCATTTCTTTCAACTCAAACACAGTTTTTAAGTTCAGTACAGTATTGGAATGTAATTAAAACAAGGCTAACTAGATGCATATTTCATATGGAAAGGGATCGGTATCTTTAATGTTGACTTGACTTTCAACAGGTTAACCACAGGCAGATTCTCGATGGATTGTTTGAAGTTTGTGGAGTTCCATCAGAAATGTTCAGAACCATCTGTTCCTCTGTAGATAAACTGGACAAGGTTTGTAGGGATTCATTTCCACTTGGAATAGAAGACAACAG